AGGCAGATGGGACTAGACAGACACACATACTTCATTAGCACTCCCAACTGAGAATAAGTTGATGATCACTATTATACAAAATATCAAGTCAAAGAATTATTCAGTGGGTGTGGGCTTGCTCCACAGAACTGAGCTATAAAAAGTGTTGCATTCTTTTACCTTTCCATATCAACTTAGATGGCCTCTGCACCTTTCGTCTCCTCAGCCCATCACTTTGGATCCTATGTGAATCTCAGGCCTTAACTGGTCCCAGGACAGTATCTGGGGAGAGCTTGATACTTAGTCCCTGATAGGTGCTATTATTTTCAGGGTCCCTGTGTTGCTGCTATTGATGTCTGGCTTTCTGTATTGGTATGCTTGTCCTCCCAGCTCTCTGTTGGCCAGAGACTAAGCCACTACAGACAGGAGCCATGGCTCTGAAGGCTTTGGTGCTTGCTGATCACAGCTCAGGCATCATGTCCCATCACCTACCACCTCTTGGGGCGATGGGGAGAAAGTGTGATTAGGATCTCTGCTGTTGGGTAGAATACACTTCCCTTTCATCCGTCATGGTTGAAAAATCCAGATCTTTCCTGCATTTAGTCACCGGGTCTTCTCTTTAACTCCATTGCTCCTCCTTGTTTCCAAAACTCCAGCTCTATCTAGCCTTCCTGAACCAAAAATTTCTAAACAAAGTTGAATCTTCTCCAGGGCAAGTGAGATGCAGTCCTCTGGGGTACAAACCTGTGGTTGCTCTTCTGGTAACAACAGCTTGGATTTGTTTAGCTTTCCCTATGAGCCAGGCATATGACAAGTGTTTTGCAACAAACACTGTCTCATCCGATCCTCACAGGAGCCATCCTGGTAGGTAAGATTACCATTCCAGTTGGATGTGTAAGAAAAGCAAAGCTTAAATTGATGGTTAAGAAACTTGTCCTGAGGGGGTAGAACTGAACCCACGCTACCAACCCCAGAACCCAGACTCTTGCTGGCCACACTGCTCTGCCTTCCTCTAAAAAATTAAAAATTGAATCAATCAATAAGTAACATTCTCATTCTCTTTGTAAGGATCTGTGCCAAAAAACACTTTTTTAAGTAAATGGTTATTCTGTGACCAGGCCCTGTAACAGGCTGTCCTGAGAGAGCCTCTTCTTGCTCCTGCCTCCCAAGGGTCTGACATTCCTTTTCTGGCCTGCAAAAAGAGCTCATTGTGTTACTTTTCTTTTTTCCCTTTAATAACTGTTGAAACTCTCATCCACTTAAATATATTTAAAGAGTAGTTATTAGCCATGCTAGGTGGCATGTTTCTGTCATCCAAAGCTATGCTATGAGATCAGGAGCATCTCAGTTCAAAGCCATCCTGGGAACCAGTAGCTGGCTGTGGTAACATATACCTATCATCCCAGTAACAGCAGGAGGATAAAAATAAGAGGAAAATGGTCCAGGCCACCTTGGGCAAAAAGCAAAGATCCAATCTCCAAAATAACCAGAGCAAAAATGAGTGGCAATGTGGCTTAAGTGGTAGAGTGCCTGCTTAGCAAGTGCAAAGCCCTGAATTCAAACTCCAGTACCCCCTACCAAGAAAGAGTACTTGTTATACACGGTGCATGAAAATGGCCCTGGCCATTCCATGACATGGTACATACGATGCACAGCTGAGAGATTTCTTGTTCCTCAAGGGCAAGAAATAGAAGCTACTTCCTATTTTTCTCACACCAATGTCTCCCCACACTCATGGGTGCGTGCAATATGTAAACCTCAATGTGAGAACTTTGAAGAAGAAATGGAATGATAAAACAAAGTCAAACAAAAGGAAATTTCCAGTGATGATTTAATGAAAGTGACACTGTTGCAAGAAAGTTAAAAGAATTTTATTCAAAACCTTTCCTGGGTCTCTGCAGTCAATATAATTCCTGTCCACTTACCTTTACCTATGCAGTGCTGTATCCTGAGGAGAGATAGTCAAAAAGAGGACCAGAAATAAAATTATCAAGTGCCAAACATCAGTGTTCACGTTTCCCTAGAAGAAGCCAGGAAGCACGGAAACACTTGTGACAAGGAGTGAAACAGCTAGATTGATCATTATTTCGTTTCCAAACTTAACTATCATATTTTCCTGCATCTTGGTCTGCAATTTATTAAAAATTTAAACTTGCTCATATAAGTCTTATGGGAATCTGTTTGAAATAGCCAGAGATTTCTGGCCAACTAATCATTATTATTTTTGAACTCTGAACATTCATGTATGTAGCTCCAAGCTGATTTGCATTCTACACCAGTTACAGGAATAGATATGCCAGGAAGTTTTGAAATTCAAGGACAGATGGGCCCCTTTCTTAGTTAGGTTGTAGCCCCCAAACCTACAGATTAGCCCAACAAGGCCTTCCAAATCTTTTGCAATGAGCATTTTGAAATCCATTGGTCATTTGGTTCTGGCTTCCAGGCAGCTCAGAAAAAGGCTTAGGCTAGAGAATTGCAAAAGTTTATGATTTCTCACTGAGGAATGAAATGTGACGCAGTAGAGCAAACTGAGACATTTAATACCAGATGTTAATGTAAAAATTGGAAAGTTGTGGCCTCACGTGGTTATCTGACCCATGACCTCCAACTCCCATCACAAAGTCTGCAAGATATCATGATTTCTGGATTCTTTCCCTGTTAAACTTTGTGCCTTTTTCAAAAAATGTAAAATAATAATTCTAAATCATACAATAGATAATTAGGTCATATCAACCTCAAGATACTTTGTTTACACATAGCTGGAATAATGCAGTTTATTACCATAAAATCATAAGTACAACCTTTCTCATTTGCTGGCTTTAGCAATGAATTTAAAAAATACTTTAATGTATGTTTCTTTCCCTTGCCTACATGGTACATCTATCTAACTTCATGGAATGCTAAAGGAAAGGGAAGGAATTTTGGTTAGTTGTACTGAAAGGGAAAGACAACACAAAAACCATACATTTCAAAACATTTTTCCCTTTGCTTACACTTCTTCCCTTAACCTGCACACTTGACAAGTGAAATGAAGGTTCAGAAGGAGGACAGACTGTTCAGAAACCCCATGTCTGTGAGGAGAGCTTGGTGTGGGATGAGGAGTTGTGGTAAGAAATTATGGAAAGAAGACCATTTCTGTGAGATACTGGGCAGACTCCACCCCTCTATGCTTTGATTTCCTCCTCCTAAAATAGGGTTTAACATGGATGTCTTGACCACCTCATAGGGTTCTTGAAAAGCTTAAAGAACACGGTTTGTGCAAAGTGCTCTGTAACTATGAAGAACATCACTCAAGTTCTGTTGTTTCAACTTTAATCCTGAAGGAGGTGAAACCTAAACAATCTGCTCTGTGCTCAGGGACAAGATAGGAAGGACTTTTAAATGGCCTTATTCTTAGAGGGCTTGAGGATCCATATACCTTTGATATTTGAAGTAGTGGTGGAAAAGAAAAGAAGCATGGAAATATCTTAGTGAATCATTAGCAAGAAACTGAGTGTGTTCACCTGACATAGGCAAAGTGCCACCACAGAGTTCAGCATAGATTTCAACTCAGTGTGGGACGAAGAGTTGAGCTATAGGCAGCAGTACACGAAGGCTGTTCTGGAGAAATACAAACCAGTTCAAGAGTCAGGCCCTGTGATCGAGAGAGCATTCAGGACCAGACATGGTGGTGCAGGTCTGCAATTCCAGTGACTCAGGAAGCAGAGGCAGGAAGATCACAGACCAAGGCAGACCTGGGTAAAGGCATGAGACCCCATCTGAAAAGTAATTAAAGCAAAAGGGCTGGAGGCATGGCTAAAGTTTGGAAGGGCACCTGTCTAGCAATCATGAAGCCCCAAGTTCAACCTCTAGTACTACAGAGAAAGAGAGAGAGAACATCATCAAGCTCAAACAATTCTCTCTCTCCCCCTTCCTTCGTCTCTCTCTATATATCATATATATGACATAGAAATACCTATAAACAGGTATCTCTCAGTAACCAAAGACAATTCTATGTCTATATGTACGCAGTGGACAACACTGGCAAGAACAGCTCACAGAATGAGAAAATGACAAAGGGTGTTAGAGGACATCCTATCCGGGTCCAATGTTCCTACTGATGAAATGAGGACACTGAGACTACAGAAGTCATGTGGCTCTGGCCACAAAAATCAGCAACATCACTGTGATAAGCCAGAGCTCCTAGGTTCTTTTCAATAAGATTTTCTTGATCTCATACAGAATGTAAAGGAGGTTTTGTCATTTAAGTCTCAAATACAGTCCAGTTTTTTTGAGTGATTAAATTTATTTTTCAAGGAGTCACATCACCTCAAAAGACATAACTAGAAACTTTTCTCCTTTCTTCCTGCCTTCCCTCCATTCCTTTTTGCCTGCCTTGTTTTATCTTTCTCACTTTCTTCATCTTTCTTTCTTCCCTTCATAGGTATATACACCTATAGGAACATGAGAACAACAAAGATGGCAGACCTAGGTCAGGAAAACATAATTTGCACTTGACTATTAGAGCTGAAAACATGGGCTGAGACTTTAAAACACAAGGTTACCAGTTTAAATCTTGAATCTAGAAAAAAACATTTTTTCTTTCCAAATAATCTGATACCATTTTGTAAAATTAAAATTTACTGCTCTGTAGTGTCCCACCATCACCACTCACCCTTCAAACTTTTCATCTTCAGGTTCAGAATAATCCCTGGCACTTATAATTGAATGATCTTACAATGGGTGTGTGAGCTTATTTGGATCTCAAGGGACCAAAGTAAAGTGATAATGTGTTTCTCTCACAATCATCTCCACTATCTGTTTATAAACAGCCTTTTTTTAAATTTGAAAATTGGACCATTTCTAATCTTTCCCATCCCTTACACATACTTCCAATTGATTCATTTTATTCTTGACTCTGATCCTAAGAATGATGTACCTTTTCCCCAGACATAAAAAGAAATTAAAAACAAAAACAACAAAAGAAACAGTAGACCAATGAGTTCCCAATAAAGAGGTGACAAAACTTGGAATACCAATAGTGCCAAAATATTTATTGAAATTTTTCAAAAGTGTTACAAAGAGCAAGTAAACAGTGAAACTGATGACAAATTCGTCATTAGAAACTAACATTTGGATTTTTCTAGGCAGGTATATAGAAGAAAAGGACATAGCTATAAACATTCACTATAGTCAAGCACTGTATGAGGTCCTTTTCTACATATCACATCGTTCAGGAAAAATCAAGCTAGGCTTTGAAATTAAGGCAAAAAATTCAATGACTGTAATCTACTAAAATCATGGTAACCCATTATACATCAAGCCCATTCAAGGATCACCACACTCTCTTGGGAAATGTACTTTTGTTTGACCAATAACCAGAATAAGAAACCTGGACAGTGAAAAGGTTGATTTGTAAAAAACTAATCAGGCATGATGATTTGCTTTTGCTCTCTGGTAGAGAAATTTACTTCTCAGGTTATTCTTTTATTTCCCTATAGGACACTAGCCAGGTTTATATCTTACTTAGCAATCTCATTTCATCAAAGCCTTCCCCACAGATTCCTGAAAATCCAGTACTTCATACTCTCTTCAGATTGCTGTGTTATTCTGACACTGAGTTGACTAAAACCTAACTCCTATAATGATTATGATTCTCATAAGAGAATCATTGGAGAATTTGGGCTTTGACAATTGCCAACTACACAAGGTAGGAAGGATATCTGCATTTTAACAAGGAAGAAACTGAGTCTCTGAGAAGGCACATTAACTGCCCAGCTTATTGAGGTAAGAAGTAACAGAGCTTGGATTTGGACACAAATTTGCCTGAGGCCTTTTATAGGAAATACACTAGTGATTCACATGGAGACTGAAAAAAAATCAGGCTTGTCTACATATGTTTAAATAATTTGAGTTATAAACATGACATCTAGAGGTCCAGATCAACTAAATCTGAATGACCTAAACTTGGGTGTTTAAGTAGTAATTGAATAGATTATTTACTAATTCATTTCATTTCAACTGTCAAGTTTATAACATTGGAAATGTTGAAAGTATTTGCCCATAAACTATCTGGAATACTATTATTAAACTGTGAAATTCCAATGCTTTGCTCAGTGAAGTACAACTGAGGTTGTCATTAAGGTCACTGAAACATGTAAGAATACTTTGTAGAGTCATTTGTTGACATTTCATGAGCATGTCCCAACATAACACAGGCTGAGAGCTTTTTGAATAAAATTGACCAACTTAGCAGTCTGCCCCTCTGTAAAAACATTCATCCTATTTTGTCCCTAGACTGGAAGAAAAATGAGGAACCCCAGTACGACTCTCTACTCTCCAAGCATGCAAGTGATTTGTTATCTTGGCTGACCAGATGGGAAGATACCAAAACTAGAGTGACATGTGACTCTTCATCTGAAAGTACCATCGTATTCACTTTAAATCCTGAGAGTCCATCTGGGGAAAAGACTGCTCTTTACACATGGTCTGTCTGTCAACAAGTGTGCTTCTTGGCTCAGATATTCACCTTTGTTAATCCACCTGGGGATCTACACATTTAGTGTACATGCAGATTTACAAGTTTTTCTCCAGAAATAATATTCTAAAGTTGAGATCAATTGGTGTCTAAGTTGATAAAAATCTGGCTTGCACTGTGAGGCATTGGTCCACCAAGTCACAAGTTGGACATTAACCATCTGCCCTGGATTCCTGTAGAACGTACCCCTCTTTCCTTGATAGGTACTGGCCACAGTCTGCTGCGGATTTAAGTTAAATGAGGCAATCTGCCTCACTCTTAGCGCCTGAGCCGCTGAATTTCAGCTCCAGCTGAAGTGAAAAGACAACTCAAATTCATCTTGACTCACAGTTTCACTGTTTTATCCTGACTACAGCTGCTCACTGTGTCTGTGGTTTTCTTACATAAATTTTCAATCCAGCTAGGGCTATTATAAAGCATCTCTTCCAACCCCGATGTTGGGGGTGGATTTCTAGCTCGCATATTTTTTCCAGATGTGATAAGCTCTCCGTAGCCTTCTTGGTGAGCAAAAGCGTACCCAGATCTTCTTGAACTTGACCTGCGGGTCTGAGGCCTTTGGCTACTTCTGGGCCTTGTCTTTTTTTGAGCCTTCTGCCACCGGCAGATCTGGAGGGAACAGACCCAGAGAGAGAGAGAGATGAATCCAAATGATAGACACCAGGAAATGTGCCAGTTTTTAAAGTGAAAGCCTTTTCAGTAAAAATAACACCAGCAATAACTGAATACTCACCTCCACTACAAGAGGAAGTTTTAACTAAAAAAGAAGATTTTCCACCCAAAAGATCACACTAGGCACTCATCAGTTTTATTACTATCAAGAAATTCTCATGTAAGCAAGAAATACTTGGATAAATGTCATTATTTTGTCTCTGATTGTACAGGAGCATAGAGCCTACTTTCATACAGAAAGATTTTCTTTTTTTGCGGTACTGGAGTTTGAACTCAGGGCCTCACACTTGCTAGGCAGGTGCTTTACCACTTGAGCTACGCCCCCAGTTCTTTTTGCTTTATTTATCTTTCAGATAGGGTCTCACTTTTTGCCCAGGCTAGCCTTGGATGGTAATCCTCTTACCTGTGCTTCCCACATGGCTGGCATTACAGTGTGTTCATTCATACCTGGCTTATTTTGTTGAGATAGGGGTCTCATTAACTTTTTGCCCAACCTCAGACCACAATCCTCCTGATTTCTACCTCCTGAGTAGCTGGAATTATAGGTGTGTGCCACCACTCCTGACCCAGAAAGATTTTCTAACATTGCCACCCAGACACAATCAGCCCAACAATTCTTTGTCCCATTTTCCCTAAACAGTCTTTTCCCTCTGTTTTTGAGGTTCTCTGTATCCAGCAGTCATCAGTAACTGCACTAGGAGAGAATTTAGAAAATGAGAGTCATAAATTTCTCACTCTTATGAAAGATTAATGTATCATAAACTTTCAGGGTTTTGATTTATTCTGGTTTGTGTGTGTGTGCATGTGCCTGTGACCTTTTGAAAGGCTCCACATCCTTCAGGTGAATTTCCAACACTATTTTTATCTTCCTGTAAAGGTGAGGAGAAAAAGACTAAAGGTTTGCTGTAAGTGACCTTGGTGAACTGATGAATTGCTTGGATTCTGACTTCTGTGTCAGAAGAAAGTCATCAGGCAGAAAATCATAGCAGGCTTAACCTAGGAAATGTGAGCACAGTCTTCCTTTATTCCCTCAGCTTATCCATCATTTTCTGGGTTTGTAGCAAAACAGAGCTAAAGGGAAAGGACAGACATGACAAGGGACTCTGAAATCTTCAGAAGGAATCTCTTCATACTTTGGTTACAGAATATGAGGGTGATCACAAGAAGCATTTCTTCCTCACTTACCCTCAGCATCACTTGCCTGGTCCCACTCCGTTTAGCAACATCTTCCCCTTTCTCATGATTTGGCCATAGATGAATGGCAAATTCTCTTTGAATTCAACTCTTAACCTAACCTGAAATTGTCTCATTTACAATCCTCTTCCATGAAATTCTGAAATGTGTTCTAATTCCCTGGTCTAACGGATGTGTTCCCTGGTCTATGATGTGTTCTTCCTATTTTACTTCCAACTCCCAATCCGTGCCTCATGCTACTATTCCCTTTTTAATTCTGTTCGGAAAGAACATCTCCCCCATGTTTCTGAACCTACTATTCTATTTCGACCAACATGAAAAGTCCCTTTGCCATATCTTGCTTGTCTCCCTTTTACTGTATCCTTTACTTGCCCTCAAGTCAATAACTTTCCCTGCAGCTTGTCTTGCTCTTAGAATAATTATCCAAAATTGTTCCAGTGTGCCTCTTTTTAAAAAAAAAATCAGCTTTTTGAACTATCCAACCTAACTTGTAATTTTCTTCACCCACAGTAAAGCTAGATGTTTCTGTTCATTGGCTCTCAGGACTGGTGCATTCAAGACGTGGGCTATCCATCTACTGTGGCATGGTGCCATGCACCAATGGCTGCTGGCCTATGGGAATTGTCTTATCCTTTCCCTGGGCTTCCAAGAAGACAACAGAAGGACACCACTTCCAAAAGCCACGCAGTGCTCAGCAGCACTGCAACATACCTGATCACTCAAGGTTGGATATAAATCTGTCTTCACAAATCTGAATGCCACCACTGGTATAACCGAAGCCACTGTTGTTAAGAGAATAACAAGCCAGATGCACTTCTGGCTTAAGGAATGCCGCGCATTTCCTGTCATTAAAGAAAAAATATACTGTGGTTATAAACAGGGATGAGTTATTATAAGCTCTTTGTAAAGTCTTTTAGGAAACAACAAGGTTTGGACTAGGTAGGAGGGTTCTAGTGTTTTCTAGTGTTTTCTGAGTATATAGGGTGTTCGGTGATAATGAGGGAAAGGTGAAAATGGTAAGCTCACCCTGTAGGAACTGCTTTGAGCCAAACATTCTCTGCTCCGGGCTCTGTTCAACTTTGCTCATGAGGCTCAATTTTTCTCTTTCAGCCTCAAGATCCCTTGGCTACAAAGCAGCCACTATTCTTAAAAGGCACATTTACCTTTATGAGTCTTGAATAAAACTCCACAATAAACGTTCTGAATACACAGGTACAATCTCAAAAACTGGTCTTGTTGACTGACCATGTCATAAAAGGTACACTTCGCCACAGAGCCAACCTTTGAAATTCCAGGCAAGGGCCCCAGAAAATCTGCCTCAAAGGGACTGGCTATCTGTTTGATGTCCTCTTGGTTATGCCATACTTAAAGTTCTAAGGAGATCAGGGAGACTTTGGGGTTTGTGAAAAAAGCATTTCTTTCACAGGGAGACCACTGGTGCAGCCATCAACCATGCTAAGGCAATAGGGCAGTGAAGCTCATTGTCAAGTCTGAAGCCAGTTTTATTACTTTCGATTCATACCTCACATAACTTGACATTTGTCTAAACAAGTATCAAAGGCATGAAAGGTCAGTAAGGCAGACAAACAAATTCCATGGGAAAAATATCAATTCTACTATACCACCAAAATCAACTTCTGTCTCTGCTTATTTTCTGGGGATTTACCATGATACCACCAATTATTCAGGTCTCCTATCCTAGTGCTCAAGTGTTAACACCATTGGAATGGGCTTTGGGAATGAGGGCTTGGCTACCAATTGGTATATTTGCTTCTTCTGGTTTTGGAAAGTAGAATCTGCCTACCAAAAGGCAGCTGATTCCAGTTGCTGTCAGCCATGGGCAGAAACAAACTTGACTCAGACAAGGTTGGGAAAAATAAACTTCACTTTAAAACCACACTCATGCTTGGTGTTGGTTACTAAGGAGAAAAAAATTTTTTTTCTTAAACCCCAGTGTTGATCTAACTTTTGTAAAGTTTCATTGGAGCTCAGTAATTAATTCACAGAATAGCATGTGCTTAGCTGAAAAGAGTGGTCCCCACACAAACTACTTTCGCCAGTTGAGGCATTCCAGTCCCATTATGCATATCAGAATGCTCTCTGAGGACTAATTCTTCTAGTCAATGCACAGAAATTTCAGATTTGGCAACCCCAAAATAAACAAATAAGACAAAAGTTAAAAATATTTTAGTGTCTTTCTTTCCTAATCAACTTATTCTTATTCATAACCAACATGGTTGGAATCTTTTGGTAAACAAAGTATTAACATTACATATTGAGTAAGAGTGGTACAATTTAAAGATTTCCATGTACATATAGGAAAAGGAAAAGTCGAAGAACAATGTTCTCATGTATTTGGGTGCATTTAACTGCAAACAGAATTTCAGGCACCTTTACATCAATGGACATGCCTAATCTCAGAATTGGTTCTATTGTTTTCTACATGAGTTAGTCTACTAAGAATTGTTTTCTACGCTGGGCTACCCAGCTAGGGAATGCAAAGCTCAGTCTTGTCTGATTGAACCACAAAGGTTGTCTCTCCTTTCTACTTTACTGAGATTAACTCAGAAAATCTCTGTTCCCTACACACGAAACTTCTGAGAAAGTATATTAATAGCCTTCTTGTGTAAAGTTCGGTGGCCTTCCTAATCATTTTGAAATGTGGACTACAATCATAGTATACTCCATGCATATACTGCATATGTACTCTTTGTAGAATAATAGAATATCAGAACTAAAGGATTTAGGGGAGTTCTTTGCTACCAATCTGATGTTCAAATACTTCTTCAATGTCCTCAACCAGTAAACAAGTCACATTTGCTTTAATGGCAGTACTCACCATCATCCGAGTTAACCTTTATTGAAAAGTACTATGTACCATGACACATGCTAAGTACTTTATATGTATTATCTCATTTAGCCCTCACAATTTTTCTATGAAAATAAGGACTATTAACATCCCCAGTTTATAAAGACATTAAATCAGGGTAAGGAGAGGAAACTTGCCTAATATCACAGTTTCTTGGGTGGCATAATTGGCACTTGAACCTTGGTTATCTACCTATAGAGCCTACTCTTCAGGCCACTTCTGTATGGACCAATGTCCAGCAATTTATTGAAGCCTCTAACTTATATATCATTTCTTTCTCATTTAAGTGAAATTGAATCGTATGGATGAATTTTGGCATATAAGTTGGTAATAATGTGGCATAAAGGGTAGAGTCTAGTATTTCTTCCTCTTTTCTCTGTATAATATACAAACTTTTCATAACCTTTGAGGTGACCCCAATGTATATGTTATGCCTCTTTCTTCCAAGGGGACAACCTTGGAAGTCCTGCTACATATGGACTATTGGGAACTTGTAAATTGCTAGCACAATGGGTCTTCTGCCCCTGGCAGAGACAACAGAAACTGATCTCTTAGAACCCTTTCCAGGTCTGGAAGCCTTCAGATGCCTGTCTCAATCAACTCAGAGAAAGAATCTTTGGTCATTTCTAGTCTACTCAATCTAATAAGTTACAAAGACAAATAAATGGCCACATGACACTAGGCTCCTCTACACAGTAGGATTCACTCACCAACAAATGGAAACTGGTTTGGGAAGATTCCAAACAAGCCATTACTGTGCATTGTAAATAAAATGGAGAAATAAGTGGCAATACTGCCCCAGATGAAGACATGATTAATGACGGTCCAGTAACTCGTGTCCAAGGCTATCTGTAAATAAAATAAAATCTAAGAGGTCTTTGAAAATTAAAAGAGCATAACTTTATTATTTGATATTTCCCTAGAACTGTTCTATGACAAGCAGGTTGCAACTCTCTAGCTTCCAGGCCAACTACAGGCACACACACACACACAGGACACTGACTGAACTTGGCATTTCTGTTAGACAATTGACTGAAGAACTTACATATGCTGGCCATTAAATCAGCCAAGGTCGACACAGTATCAGGAAATCAAATTTTCAGCTTTTTAAAGTGAGGAATAAGAAAACAGAATGGTTTTATAATTTTAAAGTCTCTTTCCCAACTGCTCTCAAAACTTTTCTATTAGAAAAAATTTCTATATGAGCAAGTGCAACATTTTATAATCTGTATGTACATTTTCACATGACTATTTTTACACATGCATAATACTTTCACATAAATATTCCAATTCATTTTATGGTCCTTTCCTTAAATTACCCAAATCATAACAAATAAAAATACTAATCTTCTTTTTGGCATAAAATTCAGAAACTGAAACTTAGAGTAACCTGGGAGCATGCTCCCAAGGCCTTCTCCCTTCCAATAACTTGTGACAGCTCAACTTAAAGAAAGGTGGTGAGCTGTTGGAGAATCAAGGAAAGTACTGGTAAATATAAATGATTGAATTCTACAGAGGAGGAAGTAGGTTCTGGAGTCATTATTTGCATCTCAGATGTCCAAAGTTGTCCAAGTAAAGGTTTGCATTCCTAATAGAATTTGGTGCAAGACCAGGTTTCTTGTCTGCCTGAGTTGGCCTTACCCTCTTAACATGAGAAGATATTTGTCACCTTCCCTCTTGCAGTTTACTGTGCTTTAAAGTGTCATCCCATTAAAGCATGTTGGCAGCCTTGGATGTGAACTACAGGGATTATAAAAGGATAGCCTTTCCTCTCCTCAAAAGGCCTGAAAACAGAGACCCACCATCCCTGCATTGACCAAGAGCTGCTAGTTTTCTAGTTCATTTAGTTGCCAAGACACTAGCCCCAAATCTCCAACTCTGTCTTCTACCACCTGTCAGTTCACTACTATCAAGAGACAACAACAGCCCAATCTGTGAGGGTAAGAAAAGGCAAAGGAAAATCTAAACTGTGTAAAACAATTCAGCTAAAAAAAAAAATACAAACAAGTGGCTCCTATTGAAGCAGAACCAATAGAAAAGACAGACAAACACTAGAACAATAACAAAATGTAGTAAGACCTCTTAAGGAGGTGCAATTAGATCATAGAAAAAAAATCTGGAAGAAAAGAATACTATTTCTGAATTTAAAAATTTAATGAAGACACCAAATAAAAGTAGCCACTGATGAGAACTGAATTAATATTCTGGAATAAACAAATGGAAATAATAGAACAGAAGACAAAATCTTTAGCTCAGGCCTAAAGAAAAAAACAGTTTGCAAGACCCCATCTCAACAGAAGAAAGCTGGGCATAGTGGTGTGGACCTGACATCCCAGGGACTGGTGGGAAGCTTAAAATAGGAGGGTCAAGTCCAGGCCAACCTGGGCAAAAAAGCGAGACTCTATATCCAAAGTACCAGAACAAGAAAGAAAGAAAGACAAAAAGAAAGAAAGAAAAGGCTGGAGGCATGGCAAGAGGTAGAGCACCTGCCTACTGAACGCAAAGCCCTGAGTTCAAACCCCAGTACCACAACAAAACAGGGTGGGGAGGAGAGGGAAGGGGAGGAGAAGAGAGGAGCGGAGTGGAAGGAAGGGGAGGGGAGGAAAGAAGTGGAAAAACATTTGTTAAGCCATAGATAATTGCTTTGTGACAACAAATAGTATGGATTTTCATATTCAAAGAGCCTTCTAAATCCTAGGCAAATTAATGAGAAAAAAAAAGATACATTCTGGTGACATTTGTGATGTTCGAGGATAAAGAAACATAAGCTTTCAGGCAGAGAATTTACTTCTTACGAAGCAAAGAGGATTTATCCACTACAGTGAAACTGGTATGTAGTGTAACAAAAACAAATTTCCTAAAGAAAAAGGCTCCGACTCAAAGAGTTCTACACCCATTCAACATGTCATTTACATGTTATTTAAATAAAAAAAAAACAAAAGAAGAAATTTGTTTTTCAGCAGCCCTAAGGTTTGAACTCAGGACCTTGCACTTGCTTAGCAGGTGCTCTATCACTTGAGCCATGCCCCAAGTCCTTTTATATGTTTAGTTATATTTCAGATAGGGTCTTGTGTTTTTGTCCAGGTTGGTCTCAGACCACTATCTTCCTACCTATGGCCCCCCAGTAGCTGGGATCACAGGCACATCACCATGCCTGTGGTGTGACTGAGATGGGGTCTCTCTAACTTTTTACCTGGGCTCACCTCAAACCACATTCTTCCCAGTCTCCACCTCCTGAGTAGTTAGGATTAAAGGTATGAGCTACTGCGCCTGATCTAGAAAGAACGTTTTGAGCACAAAATTATAACATCTAGATACCATTTCTGAACATATTACTCAAAGATATTACTGCAACAAAATAAAATTTAATCGGAGCAAAGACCTCGAAATTGGATATGAAAGCATAAAAATAGTGAGCAATGATTCCTATAAATTTATAGTTACTTCTAAATGAGTAATAATGAGACTATAAACTGCAATAGTAATTTGGAAAGAATTTTGGAACAGTCAAAATATCTTCTGCTAAGGGAGCACTTACTAAAGGAACACTGGGACAAACATTAAAAATTAACATGCAAAAAAGTGAGAAGAAAAATTAAAACCTTTCCAGAATTATTTAATTAGAGGTCAATGAGGAAAGATTTAGAATAAAATAAGGACACATTTGGTGAAGTACATATGTAATTTTAGGATATCAAATATAGCTTTAAATGAATATGAAAATAAGGAGAAATCACTAGTAAAATAGAAATGCATAAATTATTCACAGTAAATAGAACATTTAAAACTGTAATTAATGTATCCACGTATGGAAAGGAAAAATTGGAAATTTAAAAGTAAGCCTGGAGTGGTGGTGCATACCTGCATTCCCAGCTACCTGGGAGGCAAAGATTGGGAGAATTTTGGTTCAAGGCCAGCCCAGGCAAAAATTAGCAAGATCCTGTCACAAACAAACCAGATGTGTTGGTGCACACCTGTAATACCACCTACATGGGAGGCATAGGTAGGAGGATCACAATCTGAGGCTGGCCTAGTCAAAAAGTGGGAGATCCTAGCTAAAAAATAACTAAAGCAAAAACAGACTAGGGATGTGGTTCAAGTAGTAGAAAGCCTGGCTAAGGGGCCCTGAGTTCAAACCCCAGAACCACAAAAAAAGTCATCATAGAATATTAAAAGAACGAGATAAAATACATGTGATTACAATAAAAATGAGTAGCTTAATTCACTTATCAAGGCATAAAAACTAATAGAATGAGACAAAAAAAATGGAAATGAAGTGATTGGAGCATAGTATTTATCAAGAAAACTAAACAAGCAAGAAAACCAAAACTAATATTTTTTAAAATGAAACAAGTATTTTTTTAAAATCATGAATAAATATAAAAGCTAAAAACAGCAAAGACAATCAGGAACTATTTTGTGTCAAGTAGCATAGCCATGATATAAAGAGAAGGTAAAATCTTGACATACAAGAGTATGATGAAAGCCATAATTACAATGGCAAACTTTAGTGCACTTCTCTCAGCATTTGACAAGCATGCTCCTTTGGAAGCACATGGCTTCTGATCTTTAGTGTGATCATAGCCAACCTGGAAGAGGAGGTAATAATGTCTTCACTGCAATATGGCCGTCCTGTGGTTGGGTTTTGCTTCCAGGCATTACACCTCACTGTGGCTCTCCCTGGTTCCAGAAGATTCTGGAACTACCTAAAAGCTTATGTTTTTTTCTGAAACTAAAGATGAACCTGTTGCTTGTAACTATTGTCTTTATAGAAAATGATATGGTACTTATTTAAGAAAAATTTTAAATGTACATATTCTCCTGCCAGGAAGTGAAATCAACAAAATATCATTCTTCATCTACCATATTAGCAAAAATTAGGAATTCTGATCCCAGAACTCCCATTTCTAGGAACTTACTTGATAGTACATAAAATATATGTACTAGTCTATGTACTGTACCATTGCAAAAAAAGAAACATCTTGAATGTCTATCAATGGTAGACCATGATACATTTTATCTATGTATTATAAAATTCTGTGCAGCTATCAAAAAATTAAAAAATATCTGAATGTATTGGTTTGGAAAGCTGTCCAGACAATCTACTTAAGTGAGAAAAGCACATTACAGAATAATATGCATAATTATGATCTCTTTTGTTAAATATGCTTATGTGTGTGTTTGTCTAAAAGCAAAGAAAAAAACATGGAAGAATTTAAACAATCATAACAGTTAAAGCAGGGAAGGAAAAGAAAATAGTTAATTTCATTTGTGCATTTTCTGAAATGTTAAAGGAGTATTTTATAATTTCAGTGGCTGAAAAAACTGATATTAAAAGAGAAACAGAGACTACTAAGATCTGACTTGTAACATTAGCAGGACTGAAAATTTATAACTATAATTACAGACCATGACGATTTCATGGGGGCTGTTACCACAATAACAAGTCAAGCTTAGACAGTGAGGAAAGGGTATTAACTCTGCTGTCAAAATGAGCTTATTCACAGAATTCCTGAAGGTTATTATTTCACATATTAAAGACAGCAGTTTTTATTGAAGCCAAAATTGCTAAGCTTCAATGCTTATAATCACATACATACTGATGTCTGAGAAGTCTGTGTAAAGTAGACATTTTCAGAGCCTCCTGGAAACCAAAATAAGTGGTGATCTTCTTAATAGACTTTCACTAAAATGTCAAGAGCTAGGAATTCATATACTCTTCAAATTGAAATTTCAATGTTGAAAACAGATCTGTGTGTTGGTCATTGATGAACGGTTTCTCTCCTGTATTAGTTGAGGATGATACTGGTGTCTCAGGTATGGTATCCCCTCATAAAAGACAGAGGTGG